TAGAAAATATTTCTGTCAGTATACTGGCTCCGCAGTATGCATATTGAGAATGAATTTCACCACCAGGTAGAAAATAAAAATAGACGACCAAAAAAAAGTTACATTGCATATTTCCTGTTTCCTTGTAGAGTCTCAATCAATGTTTCTCGGATTGATGGAATGAAAGATGGATGGATGGAAGGAAGGAAGGAAGGAAGGAAGGAAGGGAAGGAAGGAAGGAAGGAAGGAAGGAAGGAAGGAAGGAAGGAAGAAAAGATTGCCATTACCCCAACAGTTGGGGAGTTGATATTTTCATACTATCCAGAATAAATGTTGGCCTGTAGATATTGAAGAGAGAAGCTGAAGGAATGGGCCACTGTCCTTCTCCAACATTCTCTCTCTCTGCTTCTTCTCTACTCCCAAATAAAAAGAGAGCTGATGTAGATGGGCTAAGTTCAATTTGGGATCAACAGAACTATAGAGTGTTGACAGAAAAAGGCTTAAAGTTCAAGAGTCTTGGTCTTAGATATTTCCACCTCTCCATCTCTTTCTACCAAAAACTGATTTAAAGTTAGATTTCTAGTCTATGGCTATGCCACTCTGAACGTGCCCAATCTCATCTGATCTTGGAAGCTAAGCAGGGTTGGGCCTGGTTAAATAAATAAATAAATAAAGTGAGATTTCTCAACTCTAGTTCTTAAATAACATTTAATGAAATTGTGGGATACTATTTAGATCTTTCAATTCAATCAGCTGAAACTATCAGTTGCATGGATTTCTTATGGTGTCAAAAATGAAATCTTGTAACAGCAACTCTTGCCTAAACCAAATTTTACCTTTTGAATGTACAAGGAAATACTTTAGACAGTGTAAATTAATGTCACACTAATTAAATGAGTAGCTTCTTTTAAATCTTTGGGGGGGTTCTAATTATACATTTTTTCTTTTATCATATAGTTATTGTGAGAAATTTGGAAAATACAAAAAAAATCAAGATATAGAAATTATTTGTTAGATTTCCTCTCAGAGATGAGAAAGGCTGATGTTGTCAATATTCAAGCTCTTTTTCTTCCTCTTGAGAATACATTTCTCAAAACTTTGGGAAAAGAGATGAGGTCACATAATTGAGTTCTGGCCAGTGGTGCATGGACGGAAGTGATGTGTCTTGATGCTAGGCCATACCTCTGAAACCTCCTTCCTCCACCTGCCTAGTGAATGCATATCAGAACTTAGTTCTAGAAAGAGCCTCGTTCCTCAAATAATTGCATGGAGAAGAGTCACCTTCCAGCCCTACACTGGACTGTGACATTACAAAAAATAAACTTTTAATGTTAAGCCACAGAGATTGAAGTTTGTTTGTTACAGCAGGTAGCCAACCCTGACAAGTATAGATGATCACTAACATTTCAGCAATTTTTTTTAGGTTTTTCTTTTTTTCTGTGTATACTGTATATTCAATATAGTTTTGGTCATACTGAAAGTGTGCTTTTGTATTCTGATTTTTTATTTAATTTTATATCATAAGAATCTTGTTTTATTATAAATGCTTCATAAATGTAACTTTTAATTACCACACAGTATTCTATTATGTGTATATATTATAATTTATTTAACTAAAACATATTTTTGGATAACTAAGTTCCACCTAGTTTTTCACTATAACTATATGATGAACATGTTTATACATAAATCTGTGTACATGTACATTTTTGTTTTCTTTAAATAAATTTTCAGAAATAGAATCACTGGGTTAAATATTGTAAATATTTTGTGTATTAGTTTGAATATATATTAAAAAAACTGTTTTCTCCAAAATTTGCATTCCATCATAAGTGATATGGGAATGCTTACCTTACCATACTTTCATCAGTAACAAGAATTATTATAATGAGGAATTTTAACTAAAATTATGCTCTTAACATGGAAATAACATGCCCTTGACAATAGGGTTAACAGATCATAAGGAAAATAAGTTCCACCATATCTGCTGGATTCTATACATTATCTACTTTTTAAGTAGGGGAGCTGCAAACTATATTTGCAAGATACAGCAGATGAAGAGCAGAATCTTCAAAAATAGAAGACCACTTTAATAGTACAAAGCTGTTCAAAAGTTATTAGAATGAGGCTAACAGACTGGGAGAGAATGTTTAAATAAGGTACTAAAGAATAAATTGGGAGCCTGCCATTTAGATAGGAGGGCAAAGGACATTACAGATGGAGAAGTATATATGCAAATACATGGAGGCATAAATGAATGGCCAAGTGTGGAAAAAAACATGACCATCTGTGTTTTCAGAACATGGGATGATGGGGCAGAAGCTAAGACTGAAAAAAGCTGTAGCTTGTGAAGGACTATGTGTGTCAGGCTAAGGAGGCTGGAATTTATTCTGCAACTAACAGAAAAGAAACATGTTCATAACTGAGTTGATTTTTCAAAAATCAAAATGACTGTATCATGTATAAGCCACTGTACAGACATTATTATATTTTATTCTGAAAAACAACTCCATAACGTAAGTTCTATAATTCACACTTACAAATGTGTCAAAATTGAGGTCATCATCAAGTCATTTACATAGAAGAGCTGAAATTTGAATTTAGGCCTTTCTGGCTTCAAGCCCATGAACTTTTCACTGTATAATGTTGCCTTCTATGCTATGACAATGTGGAGGATAAATTGGAAAGGAAACAGTAGGGGCAATGAGACACATTAGGAGGTTATTATACTGTTCAGAGAAGAGAAAAAAAACAAGACCAAAGGAAAGAGATTTTTAAGAAAAAGACTGGATATAACGTGGCCCATCACTGATGGCCTTTTCAAGACATCTCCAATAAAAAGATGGAAGATAGGGTAGGAGTTGAGAGGTGCCAGCCAGATTGCAGTGGCTTGTAGAGTAAGTTGAAGGTAACATTATGGAAATGGTTTAAGAGTGTGGTTGAGACCTTTTTGTAATATTTTCCCCAAGCCTTTTATACCACTGCAATGAACACGTATCATAATTCTTTAAATTATAATAATCAAACAATTGATATTGCCAGTATCTACAGTGTGATTGTAGACACATTTTCATTTGTCATCAAAACATATTGAAGGGGAAAACTTGTCTCATAATGTTAGAAATTGATTTTCAAGATTTTCAAAACCATAAAAAGTCTTAGCTTCAACAAGATGGTAACTGATTTCTCATGACATCTCTGAAAAATTGAACTAAAAAGTATGCCTATGTCATTCCATCTGCATCCAGACGCTGTAGTAATTTACTCCAAGTTAGAAATAAACCTTTTAAGAAAAAATACAGAGGAGATATCTGAGATTCAAGTCAACCAAGGTACAATTGAATGAGTTGTGTATGCTAGACTAATCTAAGTATACAGTTACTAATACTTTATGTTAACCTCTGTAGAGACTGTAAAAAGACTCTGAAGAAAGACCCTAAGAAGTCCCTACATGTAGTGTTTGTACTGAATAAACTTCTCACGACCCTTACTGAGGATCAGATCTTTGTAAAAATTGGCCTTGTCTGCACCTGGTAATAGCTGATCATTAATGGCATGACTCGAGATGCCAAACAATTAATGATCTGGAAATAGCTTCAGTTATATAATTTAGAATTTCTTTAAATATTTGAATCTTCTAGCATTCTAGAGTTTTCTCTCTGACATCTTACAAATATTCTACATGTATGTATCTACATGTATTATCAGGGTCCAGTCAGAACGCAGAAATTACTGTAGGTGTTTCCAACAGGAGTTTAATATAGGACATTTGTTACACTGATAATGGAAGATCTGAAAGGCAAGCAGAGGATGGTGAGAAAACCAGAGATGAGCAAAAGTAGAAGCCACTACTATAAGAAGGAGGAAGGGAGAAGTCAGTTTTATGAAAGTTCTAAAGCCAAGGCCCAATGTGAAGTGGAACCATGGCGGATCACTCATTAAGAGTTGGAGCTACAGAGGAGACACATCTCTATCCTATTAGAGATGTTGCCCAGAGCAGAGAAAGAGAAGAGGAAATACCTTATGTTCTTCCTTCTTCCTGATCTGCTGTTTATCACCAGTGCCTCCTATTGGCCAAACCTATCCAAATGCCAGAGTGCAAGAGAACCTAGGAAATGGTGCTCCCTCCAACACAGAGAAGGGCAGGGAATGTATCTGAGAGTAAAACAGACAAATGGCTAGCAAAAAGGTGATAATACTTAAACAGTATGTTAATCATGGGCTCAATAATAATGGCTGAATTCACAGAAAAACTCAGAAATATAAAAAGAATAATCTTAGCTTTACAGTTTCCCATAACTGCTGATAATGGTAAAATACTAATGTCTTTCCGAAGAAGAGGAAAATGCTGATAATCTTATTTTTAAAAAGACATAGTGGGTATTCAAATAATGAGTGGGTATTCAAATAACTGCCCAGAACCAAAAATAATGAGGGAAGTTTTGGAACGAGAACTTTCACCGGTACCTTCTTGGATTACTCCATCCCTGATATTGGCATTTAGCCAACTGAATAAGACTGTGCAATACCAGACCTGATCTAAAGCTAAGCAAGGCTAAATTTTTCTGGGGCTTCACTCTTTTATTGTATTTCTTTTTCAGAAGTCTACCATTGCAAGGTCACTTCATAACTTATTGGAAATATTATTCTATTGAGCTGATTTCAGCAAAATGTTACTTTCTGGGATGTTATATCATCATTCACTTCCCAGTCAGAATCAGTTTCTTCTATTGAGAATAAACCACAATTTCCTACCAATTATTCTTCAGCTTATGGTGAAGGAGCTCTACATAGAAAAAAAAGAAATGGTGGTAGCCGGCTTGGAGAAGTGCTTCAAAGAATACCATCTACATCATGAGTTCTTTCTAAAGCCCCAAATCTCCCAACTACTCAATATGCACCAATACAATGTAAACCTCATTTGAAATTCTTATTATAGGATTTTGTGATTAATTATCATTATCACTATCTATGCATCTTGAAGCCACATACTTGAAGGTCATGATATGTTCTCTACTTACCTAAATTTTAATGAAAAGAATAGTATGTAATCTTGATATCCAGAGCTGACTGTCACAGAAGATCCCTGAAGAGATTGCAACCCTTTTAGAGAAAGTGTTGATGTTAAAAAATGTGCTTCAAGCATATCTTCTGCCTGAACAAGTTGTGTGATTAACTGCCCAGAACCAAAAAATACTTTATAATGATGAAAAAGGAGAAACTTGAGTAATTTAAGACACTCAGTGGTTCAGTCACAAAATAATAGTAACAGTTAACATTTACTGAGCACTTAACTGCCTACCAAGCACTATTGTACACACTGTACGTCTATTAGCTCTTTTAAACATTACAACAACTCTATCATTTTCATTTTAAAAATGAGAGGAGTGAGGCAATGAAAGATTAATTTTCTAATGCCAGAAATTAGAACTTGCCCTAAGATTGCACAACCAGTCTCAGAGACAGAATTGGAAGCCAGGCAGATCAGCACCAGAGTCCATTCTCCTAAATACTCTACTCTCTGCCTTTTTCTTCTAGATGGTTATTGCATTACCTTAGCCACCTTATCGTGGCACTTACAGAGAATATTTGCATAAAAGTTTTGGCTTGAAGCTTTGCCTGGTGAACTGCAATTGATTTAGAAGTTACAATGGTAGATTACATTGCTGCATATAATCCCCTTCTATTCTATAAGGATTGTTTGCTCATAGTCCATATGAATTTCTCAGGACCACATCAAGGTAGGAACTATGTTATCAATATAGAATCCTTAAAATCTCTGGAAATAAGTTTTCAGCCACACCAGCTACTTGCTATAGATTGCCGCAAACAATTTACCTTAGTCAAATTTAAGGTTTTTGTGAACTGGAATTGTATTTAAGCTGCCAAAATTGGAGAAAGTCAGGATGAAATGGTGGTGTTGACCTCTAAGTTAACTGAAGGATTTATCTGAGGAGCTGGCCAATATATGTCAAGATTTCTCCATCTCATTCTGTGACTCTTGGGTCAACCACAAGAGCCATCCTACTGAATTACAAGTGGAGAAATAACTCTAAACTTCCCACAACATATGCTTCCAGCCTGCCTACCTGAGGACTTGCACAATAAATAAGAACGTAACTTATTTACTTCTGTGCATATTGCTTATTTACTGCTGTGCATATTCACTGTCTGTGCATATTGCTTACTCGTCTGCACCCTAAAAATTACTTTTGTTAGAATTACAGAGATAGAGCAATGGATCATCCATTCTTCAGAATAGGTATACAGGGGTGGCATCATCATGTTGCCAGCTATGAAAGTGCTCCTCCAAGATCAGAACTAATAGAAGCATTTTACTACAAGCCATTTTTTTTTTTTCTAGTTCTGAGGACTCACAAAAACCTTAGAGCAGTAACTGTCTGGCCACCTCTTATTCCAAAGTGGTCTCATTTGTTTCTCTTCTCAAGGCAATCAAAAAGGGGAATTCTATACTCAATAAAAGGGGTGGTATACTAAGTATACAAGGGATTGCTATGGTTTAACATTAGTTTTTCAGATGCAATAAAACTCAAATTATATGAGCAATGTAATTTTTACAGTGTCACTGTAGTATCTTGTTGAAGGCTGTTCTAGTTATCTTTGGCTACATATTAAATTACTCCAAAATTTAGACAATGACAATATTTATTTTGCTCAGAAATCTGTATGTAGTTTAAGGAGAACTTAATGAGGACAGCTTATCTCTATTCCATTTGACCTCAGCCAGAGTGGCTCAGAGGCTAGAGACTAGAATCATCTAAAGACTGATTCAATTACATAAATAGTGGTTGATGTCAGCTGTCAGCCTAGCTATTATAAGGGGCTTTTAGCAGAACACCTAAATGTGGCCCATTCATGTGATCTGAACTTCCTTATGACATGGTTGCTGATTCTAGAAGGAAAAGTGCCCTGAGCAAGAAGAGAGAGCCAGGCAGAAGTTGAATTTCCTCCTATATCCTAGCCTTGGAAGTCCTGGAATGTCACACCTATCACATTCTATTGGTTGAAGCAGTTAGAAAGATCTACCTAGGTTCAAAGAGAGAAAACAGACTTGCCTCTGGATGGAGGCATGTCAATGCAACAGTGTAAGAAGAGCATGGGATAGGATATATGTTGGTGTAGCAATCTATGGAAAATACAATCAGTCACAAAAGTCCTACTGTTTCTTTCCACATTTTTTTCCTCAGTCCAAAGAGAGCAATGCCACTCTCAAGGAACTTGTCTTATAGACTCTGTTTCTTTGAGGCTGCCCATGCAAGTTTTTTTTTTTTTTCCACTCCTTTTTGGATGCCTAGAGAAGATTAAGTATTTTTCTCTTGCCCTAAGAATGGCAAAATTCCATATAAAGTACACGAAAGACTGCACATGTGAATGGAAAAGTCATGTGTATTATAGCCAGTATCTTTTACATGTCCACCATCTTTAGAACAATTTTTGTAATAAACTAAGTTGAAAATATAAAAGAAATATGGGCTAAATTTAATATTTATGATTGGTATTATAATATTGTGTAAATTATATTACAAAACACTATTGATGGAAACCTATTGCTTTCTTGTTTGAAGTTACTGGTATTAGTATTTTTCTCAAATTCTTGGGATGTTATAAAATTAAATTAATGGGTATAATGTGTTTGCAGTGCTAAAGAAAATAAAATAACAAAATAACTATGCAACCAGAAGATAATCATTTTATCTTTGAATTTATAGAGAACAAATCACAAATTCAACCGTAGTCACATTTGTCGGCAATCCACATGATTGAGATGATTTAGTGAGACTCAGTGAATTGACAGTATATTTCCAAAGAGGACAAGAGCTGTAACAATATTTCATTTGTGTATTCATTTGTGTTCATTTGTAAACATTTTGCTTTGGTCTAGATTTTTCTAATTGTGCTATATCATATTCTATCAAATATTCTGAATTAAGGAGGAAAAATCATGGAATATCTTTAAAAGATCAGATTTCTGTAACTAACACTGTGGTAAATAGAGCTGAAGATATTCACTGCCCTACCTTTAATTCAGAAAATATTCCTTAGTGGAAGAAAAGATTTTTGTTAAAGAAGGGAGGTTGTTGATTCTAAGATCTAATCAGTGTCTTAAAAAATGAAGAAAGGAAAAAACATCTTGGGTTTAGGGGCAAAATTCTGCATAACTTCTGACAATAGTAAAATTCTATCATTTATTTTTAAGTTGGTAATTTTATAAAAGAAGAAAGAAAAAGCAAGAAGGAAAACTATGCATTTGGCGGGGGTGGGGGGGAATACTAAAACAGTGACATTTTAAAGGAGACATGCTCTGAACATTTATTTGTTGTTTATAAGAACCAAAGGGGTTTCTTTTGTTTTTGTCTTTGTAGTGTCTGTACTTTAAAAAATTCCCCTAGTAACTGAATTTTAAAACTATTGCTCAAACCTGGTAGATTTGAGGCAAATTATTTATTAAAGTGTTGTTAAAAACAACAACAACAACAAATGAACAGAACTTGAATAAAGTCATCTTTAAAATTAGAAACTATGAATTGAAATGGTTGGAAATTTTTAAGAAATTACTTTCAGCAAAGCCAAAATTGTTAGTGAGTCAAGATAATTTTCTCAAATAAGTGTCTGAATTTGCAGGAAGGGGTGAAAGAATAAACATTTGAGGGGCCCAATTATTACAAGTTAATGCAAAATAAATAGCACAACTGGAATAACCATTACCCACCTACATACTTGCACATATTAGTAATAACACTTCTGTCAGTATAAACATACAAGTCACTTTTATTCTTTTGCACTATACTTGGTATATGGAGAAGCATCAAGATGAGAAGAAGGAAAAAGAGACCGGAGGCCATGATATAATAATTTTAGAACTCTGTCATGTCTTAAATATTATTTTAATCCCATATATCTTTTTTTTTCTCTTCCTGAGATTGAATCAGTCTTTCAGGAAATCTTTCCACCTATGACAATAGTGCTTAGGTAAACCAAGAGAAGAAAATGGCTATCATTCATGAAGAAAGGAAAAAAAAGAAGATAGAGAAGAAGGAAGGATATAGGAGAATCAACAGTGAGATGAAGGAAGGTCAAAAAGAGAGAAAATAGAGTAAATTAGGAGAAAAAGAAACAAAAAAAGGAAAAAGAAACAAGAAACGAGGATACTTTAAGCCAGGCATTGGTAAACTGTGGCTCACAGATCAAATTCAGCCTGTTGCTTATTTTTGTCCAGCCCCAGATAAAAATGATTTTTTAAATTTTAAATGGTTGGAAAATATTATAAGAAGAGCAATATTTTGTGACACGTAAAAATTATATGTCCATAAATAAAGTTTCATTGCTCATATAAAAATCTGTGTCCATAAATAAAGTTTTATTGGAACACTTCCATGTCCATTTGTTACATATTGTTTATGGTTGCTTTGTGCTACAAGAGCAGAGCAGTTGTGACAGAGATCATCTGGCCTTCAAGAAACCAAAATGTTTATTATCTGGACCTTACAGAAAAAATTTGCCAATCCTTGGAGTAATCTATAAATACTTATTAAATATCAGCTATTTGCTCAGCACTACGCTCTATGAAGGATAGAATAGGAAAGAGAAAATAATGAAGATGTGGTTCCTGTCCTTGGACTTACAATCTAGTCGAGGAGGGGAAAACTCATAATAGCTGTTTTTCATCATTGATTGCTAAGAACTGAGAAAATGGCATTAATGTATGGCTTATTTCTTTCTTGTTCTTGCTAAACTTGGTACCTTGCAAGCAGTCATAATATTAGAATTCAGGCATTCAGAGTACAATTACATCATTAAAATTCCTATATATATCCGTAATCTCTAGTTTAAGGTTATCATCTAATTTTCAACAAACATATATACTACCACAAAATGTGTGTTCACTGTCCATAGTAGGATTTAAAAAAAAAAGAAAGAAAGAAAAAGAAAAGAAAAATTAAATACATACATACATACATACATACATACATACATACATAAACAAATAAATAAATAAATGAAATACCACAAAGTCTTAATCTTGAATGGAAAATCCAGTTTCAAAACAATTCCTAAAAGAGAAGAAGGCTTTGGCAGAAGAT